GGAACAATTAGTGCAGTCGGATTAGATTAGACTTTTTTCGGGCACTAAATAGATGAAAGTAAAATTTTTCATAATTAATTTGGTTTTGCTTCAAAAAATCTCACTTTTGAAGGTGTCTGTATACTTTATAAGTGGTATAAATTTTAATTTTAATTCCAAATATTTATAACTTTTTATTCATTCTCATTTGCTATGCAAAAAGGGCCCTTGCCAGATTCTAAATACATTTTTCTTGAGACGTCGGAGCAGAGACAACTTTTGTCTCTGGCCGGAGAGACTTCCCTGAGACTGTATTTTACTCGTAAAAAGTTATACTACAACGTACAGTAAATGACAATTTCATTACTAACTGACCAAAAAAAGTTAGGATATCATTTTCTTGAAACAAAACAAACAAAAATTAATTATTGGAAATTAACAAAACGCTTAAATCGACGGTTTTTTTTCAATTCTTCAGTAAACTAATGAACGGATTTTAATGTAGTTTATCTGATATCACATGTATTTTTAATACTTGAAAAGAGAATAAAATTTTTTTCAATATCATCATCGGTTCAACAGTTATTCACAAAAAACGAGCTTTCGCACTTTCTTTAATTATGTATAAATAATTGTTTATAAACAATGTTCCACAGCCGGAAATCGAGCAAAAACTATTGTCTCAATATTCTGACATCCTTCCGAACAACTTCCAATAATATTTTACCACCATATTTTCAGTGCCCGAACCAGGCCTTTTAAAGTCTAATCCGACTAGACTCAAAATACGCTTCAGTCCGGTTTCAGGTACAAAACAATATATATCTGTGACTGAAAAATACTGGTTTGTGTCATCCCTATTATGGACTAGCGCATATATGCTAACTTGACTCGTTGTTTAAATAACATGCGCAAGTTAGTTTGAGGTTACGTTAATCAAAACATAAACCAACTATGTTTAGGAAATATTTATAACTGTAGGTTTAATATAAAATCTCAACAGCACGTTTTTTTTCATAGATGAAAGACACTGTCTGAATCATAAAAATTTGATGACTGCCGTTTGCTTTGATTAACGTAACCTCAATCCAACATGCGCATGTCTTTTAAACAACGAGTCAAGTTAGCATATATGCGCTCTCATCTTATGGGCGTCCTTGTTCCGCGTTTCGCAGGTAGCGCTACAACTGGCTGACCGGCGACTGACGGCACTAAAATAACGACTTTTCGGCAAAGAAGTTCTGCGCATGGACGAAACGTGTAGGACATAGAGAAAATAAAACAAACGTCGGTTAGATCAGTTCTGTCCTTTTTCAACTTGCGGAGCAACGCGGTTGGATATTATTCTTGAATTGCTATGTTGTTTTTGCTAAATGAAATTAACCTAACAATTAATTTTAACCTTATTTTAACTACGTTTTCGATTGATCAGCCGAGTTAAAATAATTTGATATTTCTAATACCTGCACGGGTATTAATTGCATCTTAACATAGTAGTATTTTTTGTTTATCTATTTCTTGTTTGGTTTTATATTTTGTATCTGCATAAAGATGAGTCACCCTGATGATCATGTTCTTTCGTATAAATGTACATCATCAAACTGCACAAATTTCTATATTAAAAAGGGTAATCTTGAAAACTACGCAAAGAACCGGTATTCAAATACCCTGATCCAAATAAATATATTAATCGTCGTAGAAAATGGTATGAAATAATGGAATCCTTTCTTCTGGAAGAACGGCTTAGAATTTGGAATTTCCCTGGCTAAATTTTTTGTTATTTAATAGTTCAGCATGGAACAGAATCTGGCAGCACATAAGGAGAATACTTCTGGTGGGGATTCCTACTCCGATAGGCACAAGTTTCGCTACCCAGGTTTTCCCTTTGAGACTATTTGGAAGACAAATTGTGTTTTTTACTTAGCAAATGTCAACTTACACAATAAATTTTATTTTGTTTTGATTTAGGTATATATTATTTCATTCCCTTTCATGGATCCCCTTAAATCTGGATCCAAAATTGATCTGATTTGATAATTGATTCTGAGTGTTACAATTTCTATGTGGAGTCAATCAATATTTGAAGATTTCTAATATAAAAGCATAGACTCCCCAACCAGTGCGAAGCTACGATCAAAAATTTGAAGTTCTCCAACAATATCCAGCTCAGACAGGGAAAACCATTTATCCTACCAAAAATTCAAATGTGCCAAATACATAAGTCACCACTTTACGAAGCCATCAAAGTCACAAGAATCGACTTTCAAAATATCTATAAAGCGACAGACACTGTAACCAGCCTTCTTCCACTCGAAGGGACCAAAATTTGCATTGTACTAGCAATCACTCTTCTGTTCATAATTAAAGTAACAAGAAAATCCCAACTTTACATGAAGTGTACCACGAGAAGCCAACTCATTCAACCCCACACAGCCGAACGTCAAACACCATCCGTTATGTTTGCCGCTTAAGAGGGGAGGAGTTACATATGTAGTATCCGCCGATAATGCATGGGAACCGCTGACACAGCAGTCATCATCCGCTGTTAGTCATCAAGGTCCAGCAGTTCACACCTGAACGTGAGAACTGCTGACAAAAGACTAACATAACTTTACATTTTTAAGTACAACAATTATTATAATCATTCTTGCTCTGAATTCTGAACTAACTAGTTGTAGTAAAGAAATAAACCTTTTTTAAAAAGTCTGTTCGTCGTTTGATACACGTAATTCTCATATTATCAAACACAAGATATACATTTTGCTTACAATTTTTTGATTTAATTTTTACCTTTTTGTGCCCCTTAGAAGTTGGTTAAACTAAAAATCCAGTGGCGTTCAGTGGTTGACTACCTCCGAGAAGCGCCACTAATAGCGATACATTGGTTGAAATGCTGGCATTCCCACGAGCCAGCTTCAGTGGGCTTCAGGTTAAGGTCAGTCAGCTTCAGGTGCGCTTCTCACCAGCGCCACGCTGCAGAAGAGCAGAGAAACGCTGCAGAGTGGCTGGTAGAATGTTAATGTGCGCTCCTTAGCAGCGCCACTGGGAATCGCTGCAAAGTGGCCCTTGTGAAAAGGCTCCAAAACCATCAGTGGGCCACACTGGGCCATTCGTTCTGCTGCATTAATGATTTCTGTCGTAATTTTTTGTGCTGTGACCAATACCCGTACCCAAATAAAAAACTGATGTGCGTCACGGGACGCTCGACACAAGTGATAACTTCATATATTTATGGAAACCATAAAATATTGAACCTGTTTAAACGTATAATGGCAATAATAATTTCATTTTATAATTCTAATATTCTTGTAAGTCTAATCATTTATAGATGGATCAGAAATACGTAAAATGTAATTTAGTTTCCAATTGAATATAAAATATATTTTTTATTTGCAACATTTAACGAGATGTTATACATATTGCGCTTCTTGGATTTGTGTAAACTCTTCTTCTTGAGTTTCTGTATTTTTTAGTCGTAATTTCTTATTTGCTTTATATAATCTTTGACGTTTAGCACTAGTTTGTGGTTGATGAAAGCTACTTTGAGTTGATTTATTACTCAATGCTCCTTTTTAGCACGAAATCGTTTTTGGCGTTCAGCATTACTTAATACCTTTCGCATTGTAGCATGTTTTTCTGACTATTCTTCTTTATGTTGTTCATGAACGTCTGCTACAACTCGAATCTGAATAGGACTAAAAAATCAATTAATTTTGGTGATTGGAAAACGTTCTGTTTGTAAGGGCGTCCGCGAAATTGAAGAAGAGAAATAAAAAGCGAAAGAAAAGAACAGAAGAACGGGAAAGACGTCCCTGCTCGGAAGCCATTTTTGCAATGGCGTCCGGAAAAAAAAAAAAGAAAATAAAACGGAAAGAACGGGAAAACTTGAAAGAGGAACAGTAGAGACGTCTCTCCGCGGGCGCCTTTTTTGTAATGGCGTCCAGTAAATTGAAAAGAGAAAAGAAGAAAACGTAAAGAACGGGAGAACTTGAAAGAAAAGCAGAAGAGACGCCATTGCCCGGGCGCCATTTTTGTAATGGCGTCTAGAGAAAAAGAAAAACGTTGTTCCGTAAACTTACCTTTCAAATTTAAGGTTTAATGCTGGTAGTCTAGCATGTTCATACTTGAACGGACAAATTACGAAAATTTTTGATATCAAAAAAGTTCTCTTCAACAATTTTTTGATGAAAAGTCACAGCGGCAATGATGGTTTTTTGTCATTAACAGATAGTTACAGGTGGATAGCCCCTGTCAATAATAACAATTATTTGTCAAACTGTGACTTACTTTGAATTAACTTTCACGAATTTGCTGATATGCAATTAGTTCAGAGGAAATTCTACAGTAACATAGCAAACGCTGAAAGAACTAACGCCAACAAAGGGCGAGGAGAGCGGTTCCAGGAAGATAGTGAACGACAATCGATGTCCGGGTTCCAGGCACAGAGGAACAAGTATTGAACAAAATCGAATCAGGGCTTTCCAGGAGTACTCATAGCACAATAACGGACACTTTCCCAAGCACTAAATAAATACCTAGGGAGGGCCTATTCCTACCCCGTTTGTACGATACACACAGCACAAGGAGCACACACATGTACA